TGCGAGCACATTTGCATTCCTTTTTCTCTTATTCATTTTTATAATAAGAGGAATATCTTCGTCTTCAGAAAATATGTCAGTTTCTGATGGAGGGACTTCCTCTGGTAGAGGTTGAGGGACTTCTCTCTCAATGTCAATGCCAGCCACGCTGCGTGGAGTGGCTGATTCAAAAAATAAAAAAGAACATTCAAAATATAATTAATAATCAATTCATATACTTAATAATAAATCTCTAACCTTAACAATAAATCCGTATATTTAACAATCAATCCATATATTTAACAATCAATCTCTAACCATAAAAATAAATTCGTAATCTTAACAACAGATCCCTAACTTTGACAACCAACCCGTAACCCTAACAACCAATATCTAACCATAACAATCAATTTGTAATTTTAACAACTATGCAATATAATTCATAAGTAATAAAAAAGAATCTAACATGTACAAGTTTGCAGCGCTGGGCTAGACACCTCTCCAGTCGACTCCCTCTTTTCCTTATTCATTTTAAAAATAAGAGGAACTTCTTCATCCTCAAAAAATATGCCAGCTTCTGGTGAAGGGACGTCCTCTGGGCGAGGACCTTCCATCTCCGTATCAATGTCAGTAGTATCATGTTGAGGGAAATCCTCTGTTGGAGGGACTTCTCCTGGTAGAGGGCCTTCGCCCTCTTTATTAATGTCAGCAAAGTGAGGTTAAGGGACTTTCCTCTCAATCTCAATGTCAATGATAGCCACACTGCGTGGAGTGTCTGATTAAAAAAAAGAAAATTCAAAATATAATTATGAAAAAACTTAACAACTATCCAACCTTAACAACTAACCCATATACTTTTTTTTATATAAACTAACTCATATACTTAACAATCAATCGATAAACTTAACAACCAATCCGTAAACTTAACAACAAATCCGTATACTTAACAATCAATTCATATACTTATCAATCAATCTCTAATCTTAACAATAAATCCGTAACCTTAACAACAGATCCCTAACTTTGACAACCAATCCGTAACCCTAACAACCAATATCTAACCATAACAACCAATTTGTAATTTTAATAACTATGCAATATAATTCACAAGTAATAAAAAAAATCTAATATGTATAAGTTTGCAGCTCCATCGCTGGGTTGGACACCTATTCAGTCGGCCTCTTATTCTTATATACAGTGACATTTCTGCATCGGGCATCGCTTAGCTCATCTCTCAGCCTCCTCACTTGTGCAGACAGAGAAACCATTTTTACAGAAAGAGAAGTTATCTCTAGTCGGTCGGTAGCAATCTGATCTTTGAATTTCCTCTCATTGTCGTGACGTAATTTTTGATTCATTATCGCGATGCTCTTCCAATAGCTCACTTGCTTAGGCAATTTTATTTGATCAACTGTCTCATTGTGCTGCTTGACCGCTTCATCAATATTATGTGACATAGTCTATGCAATGGACAGATACAATATTATTAAAAAGAATAATAAAAAACAGTTATAATTCACAATTACTACAGTGCTTACCCATCCTTCAAAAATGAGATCATCTTTTGGTCCCCTTTTCTTTTTAGGAAGAGGTTGTCTTGGGCCACGTGCTCTATCAGCGTTTCTTACAGCCAGTTCCTTATTCTTCTCCCTCTTTCTCTCTCCCTTTATTCTTCTCTTCTCTTTTCTTCTTCTCTTTCTCCTGCTCCTTCCCCCACAAACCTCCCTTAATACTTTGAACTTGGCCCTGGAATTGTGGAAGCTTTATAGTAGCTTTCCTTGCTTAAGCTACAACAATGATCAATCTCAAAGATCTCACAACATCTCCCAGTTTTACCCAATTTGTGAGGAGATGCGGCGACATACTTCCAACTACTGGCTTCTTGATGCCAGGAAGTTCATAATACCACAACTGCACATGAGAGAAATAGAATATTAACAAACACTTTTTAACCTTAACAACAAATAAGCAATCATAACAATAAATCTATAACCTTAACAATAAATAAGCAACCATAACAATAAATCAGTAATATTAATAACAAATCTGTAATCTTAATAACCAACCCTTTAACCTTAACAACAAATCTGTACCTTTAACAACCAATCTGTACTCTTAACAACAATTAAGCAACCATAACAACAAAACAATAACCTTGATAACCAACTTGTATACATAACTACCAACTATACTTAAGAACTAAACCCTAACCTTCATAATCAATAATAAAAAGTATGATTACTTACACAAAGAAGCTGGGTACACCCTTGCAGATATACAATCATATTTCCTGGCCCAGGACCCTTCAATGTCTTTTTTATCGCATCAAATGTCTCATTGAATATATAGGTCCCCTAAGTAGTGTTATTGGCATGTTCGATGCTGTCAACATTTGAATAAATGCCTAGGAACGCTAAGAACACTGTTTGGACATCAGATCATGCTCAGCTGATAGAGGATCTGTAGCAGGACAAAATCCTTCACATCTCGACGATCAGTTGATTGTACAAGCTTTATGACCAGATCCTCAACATGACGTTTGGTGGGGGCTGAAGGAGGAGCTGTAGTGCTGTCACCCTCGGGTTTGGTAAAAAACCTTAACCAAATCCTTACCTTCCTATCCGGTTGGGGCCAACAAGATCCCCCTCATTGAAGAACCACGTATGACTCATTACCCACTCAAGGTTGAATGAGCACGCAATGTCTTCTCCAGATTTTGTATCAGTGAAGACGAATTTCATCTTTTTCTTGTCCCACTGTCTCAAAACGTGCTCAAAAGTGGGAAGATCAAGACCAGGAGGGTTGAAATGAATGTAGTGTCTGAATACATTATCTTCATAGGCCTTCTAGTGCCTTTGCTCTATATGCTGCACTAAAGTGTGCATGAATTCATAGTAGACAGTGAAGCTGAAAGTGGGCCGTAACTCAGATGTGGACTTTGCCCTTTGTCTACAAAGCAAAACCACAAGACAAATATTTTGAAAATAATCTGTAAACATAACAATTATGCTGTAAACTTGACAAAAAAATTGTAAACTTAACAACAAATCTATAAGCTTCACAACCAAAACCTATCATCAACAATCAATCAATAACCTTAACAATAAAAGCATAACCCTTACAAGTTAACAATAACATTCACAACGAATAGCCACAAGTAAACAATAACATCCACAACTAACAGACACACGTCAACAGTAACCTTCACAACTAAGAGCATTATGTAAACAGTAACAACTATCGCTTAACCTTAACAACTAACATGCCACATGTCACAACTAAACAACAACCTTCACAATAGATCAATAACCTTAACAACTAATGCATAATCTTAACAATAAAAACATAACCTTTACAATAAAAGCATAACTCTTACAAGTTAACAATAACATTCGCAACTAATAGCCATAAATAAACAATAACATTCACAACTAACAAACCCGTCAACAGTAACCTTCACAATTGACAGCCGTATGTAAACAGTAACCTTCACAATAGACTCATAACCTTAACAACTAACACTTAACCTTAACAACTAACGCTTAACCTTAACAACTAACATGCCACATGTCACAACTAAACAGTAACCTTCACAATAGATCAATAACCTTAACAACTAATGCATAACCTTAACAATTAATAAATTTCCTTGACAACTACAGGCTAACATTTACAGCTTAACAATATCATTCACAATTAACACATCATGCAACACGATAAACAATATAAAATTACAGTAAACATTATTTTTTTACTGCCATATGCTTCTCTTTAGCTCCACTCTGTAGATCCAGAAGTGCTCTAGAGACGCCGTCGGTGCCGATGTTGCCGGTGCTGCCCTCTAGATCTATGTGTTGGCCTGCCTTTTTGGGTTGAGTTGGACTTCTGAGATGAGAATGGCTGGTTGCGATGTCCTCTAGAACATCATCAATTGATGTGCTAGCTTCAGACCACTCTGCTGTGGTCTGGGGTCTTTTTGAGACGACGTACTGTGACGCGTTGTCGTCTTCGCTGAATTCGACGGGAACGACTGCTTTAGGAGTTGTCTCGTTGGCTATTTTTCTGATTAATCTCTGGAGTTGGTTGATTTAGGACTAGGGTTTCGCAATGGGGAAAATGCTCTGGAGTCGGTTCGCTTGGACAGAAGAGAGTTGAGTTGGCACGATCGATGAGGAGTGGTTTAGATAAATTGGAGGCGGTTAAATCAAAGGACATTTTGGGCAATTTTTTTTGTTTTTGCACGTCGGGTCACATGAGTAGGGGTTTTGGGGGCTATGAGAATTTCTGATTGTTTTTGGGGGGCTTTGGGAACGTTGACAAAGTCTTGGGGGAGGGGGTAGAACACTTGAAATGCTTTTGGGGGCTAGAAGCAATTTTCCCATATAAACACTTATCGAAGTATTAAAATACAAGCCCTTTCATACTTTCATTTTTTCACTTCCGGGTAAACAAACACCCCTAAGTTTACCAAAAACTTTGAAATTGTATTATAACCCAAGTGGGTTACAATCCATAGTTTTCAAAAATGCTCTTAGGTTTAGTGCAATATTACTAAATTTCCAAGCCTTTGTGAAGTATCCTATGTTATTGTTGTAGAGAGCACTTTGATGGAATTTCTCTATATTGGTGTGTGTGGTTCGTCATCTTAAGAATTTGATTACTGAAGGTCATTTCTCTGCTGAGAAGATTCATTATTATGTAATTCATTTTGGTTGTTCTTGCTTCATTCTTTCTATGCAAGGATAGGTTTTCTGAGTCTTGGACCAAATTTTTTACATGTTTATTTATATTTCAGCATCCTGCATAACTAAATTATGTGAATATTGGCTTTTCAAAGCCACTCGGAGTTCTGATTTTCTACTTTCTCCATCAACCTTGCATTTTGTGTTATGTCATTTGTTCTATTGAGCAAGGCCACAAGGATTAATATAAATTATCAACTAGATAATTTTTATACAATTTTTGTGCCTTTCAGCTTGTAATGAGACGCTTACTTGCTTATCTGGACTTTACTTCCGCAGATAGTTGATGGAATCCCTTGTTTGGTGCCGAAGGATGGAAAATTCCTCGAGGAAATGGACAAACAAAAACCTGATGCTGGTGCTGAGCCATCAACCTATTTTAACTTGTGACTGGTGTAAGATTTTGACCATAACAGGTCACCACTACTTGAATAAGGTTATCAATAACCTCCAGGTTTAATTTTCTCGCCAGTTTCTATTTTTATTCATAATAAAAATTTCTGAAATATGATGTATGCAAAGTTTTATAAGCACCTCATAGTTTTGTACTACCATTAGGTTGGCTGCAATAATGAAAATGAACATTGATGTAAACTGGAGATTGTTTTTAAGTCTGAGGGAAGTTTGTTGAAGTTTTACAGTTTTACGACCTACTTGTTTTTTGAATAATAAATCAATCCATATAGTCCTGGTAGATTTAGATGGTTGAAATTTCCACCCAATGATAACAACAATAATAATAATCTATACCTTTCAAACTTTAGTGAAATTTACCACTTCCTTTTAGAAAATTGTTTCACAAGTATTCAACCTGCAAAAGTTGATTTATCTTTGTATCCAGTTATTATGCTTGCATATACTTTGTATATTGTACTATCACAAATGTGTCAAGGAAGGATATGTATGCATTCAATACACATAACATAAGATACTTGATAGTACACATCAAATACTTCTCTTGGTGTATGCTAAACTTTGTAACTTATTCTAGATGTATTGGAAATATTTTACACAGTCGACACTAGGAAATTAAATATTTATATATACATATGCGAGATTCATGATTCTATTCTGTCTAAAAATGCATTGACTTTGTGATTTATCTAATGTCCAAAATTTATCAATAGGTTATGATTAATAGTCACAGACACGAACATTAATGTGCTCTGATGTGGACAATACGGTGTGAGACATGATAATTGTCAAAAACTCAGACGTGTTTGTTGTCAATTTGATTTTGCACGTAGTGACTAGCGGAATTTAGAAAGAATAAGCTCTTTAGCTTTTCGATAATAAGTACGAAGTACTAGTAATTTTTATGAGCTTTAGAATAAGGTTGGGACAAATCTAATGCCCAAGGTTAAGATGAGCATATTAGGCAATGGGGTGGTTAAGTGGGTAACAAGTAGGAGACTTATCTAAACATGATAAGCTTGTCTTTCTCTATAGTTTGTTAATGTTCTGAGTGGGAACTTAGGGTTTGCAATTAAGACTTATTATATCTAGATCACTAGGAGAGTGAATAGAAAAAGTAAGGGAGCCTGGATAAAGTTGAAATGATTAAGCCGATGAGGGATATTGCTGGAGTTTTCACCCAAATAAAGGTAGTCTTTTGCTTAATATTGATATGCTTATGTAATAATGAATCTACCCTGGGTTGCATCAAATACTTAAAAAGTTGTTCTCATTTTCTATGCTGAATGTAATTGCACGAGGACAGCATATTTGGTGCATCTCTCTTTCGTTGCATGATACATAGATCAAAATCCTAATGGATCATTATACTATATATTGTTAGAAACAAATTACTAAGCTTTATTAGGGTATTATTAGGTGCAAAAAGTGCAAATACTTTGCTAGAGCTCTCATGCACAGTCCATATAGTTTACCAGTCCTTTTCTACTATGAAAAGTGTAGCACGTCCCAAAGCCTTGCATGGATTACAACAAATTGATCTAGTTCTAATCCCTTTAGCTTAAGGTCTTTTTTTAATCTAATTGCTGAAGACAAGACTCCTTTGTTTTGGTGCAACCTCTTCCAATGTTGATCCCTCAACTCACATAGTATTTTCGACCAACTAACAAATTGTGTAAGAACTAAGCAACTGCTTTTTGGTAAAAACTGACCACTCAACCCTTTGAAAAACACTCTTATTAATCTGAGTCTTTCTAGTTCTTGATCATAAGCTAACATCTCAAACTATGAGCAACTTCCTTGCTTTTGTTTCCCAGATACTTAGCTTGAAGATCAAAGACCTCAAAGAAGTCATTTTGGTAGCAAAATCGAAGCTAAATTCAGCAGAAGATGGAGAATTAGAGTGTTGTGTTTGCTTATCGAGGTTGGTAGAGGGGAGCGACACTAGGAAGCTACCTTGTTGCCATTTGTTTCATAGGGAGTGTGTCGATAAGTGGCTGATTTTATGTCGGAGTACTTGTCCTCTTTGTCGTCTTTCTATCAATTGTGAGGCCATGAGGAGGGAAATGGAGCTAACTGAGGAGTTGATGATTTGGTTCTCATCTTATTATGCACCTGGATTTTGAAGAAGTTGATGCTTTTTTTGTCTTCTTGACCATCTGAAGCTCAATATGTACTGTAGTTTTTCTGTGCAAGTGATTGTCAGTGAAGTTCTCCTTCTGCTGAGGTATGGTGAACCATCAAACTGTGTCCTATTTGTATTTCTTGTCTCAGAAGGGCTGTAGGCTGGTTGAAATGAAAATATCGGTGTGCTGAGAGGGGCCAAATCATGTTTTATAACTCTCTGGACCTCGAGGAAGCATTGAAACAGTTTTTAGGGATTTTTAGCTACGAAATTTCGTTGGTTCATCAGGATTCTTTGTTTTTTCCATTGTTGCTTGTGTGGCTCAAAATCAAAGTTATTTTGTTTCTGATGCTCCATCTTTCTATTGCACAGTGTAGCAAATAAACTGTAGTTAGGGATTCATAGATTGTGTGTTGGTTGAGTTTTGTCATTTGGTTTGACGAAGTAAGTCGGAGCTTATATTTTAGCATTGGCTGATATTGATTTCTGATGTTTTAATCAATATTATTGACACCCTGCAACACAGTACCATCTACAAAAACGTACAACATTTATCTGGTTAAAGATTATACTACAGATGAATGCAAAAACAAAGTGAAATGCTTTATATGCTGAAATTAGAGTTTCAGCAACTTAACTATAGAAATGAAGTTCTTTGCTTCCTTTGGAGGAAACCAGCTGCTCTATTATATTAGCTGCACTGTCTCTGTTAACTACGCTCACTAGCCTTAGAGTTATGGGATCAACTGATTCAAGACATTACGTACCTAACAATTAGCCTTCAAATATATACATACTGATATAAGTTAGGTGAATTAGGGATGCAATTACTTTCAAGTAAATTGTGGGTTCCTTTTGATAGTTGAGCTTTCGCAGTCTCGGTTAGGACATCAACCATCGATTTCTGAAAAAGCTTATGTCAGTCTGTATGGCAAGCTTGAATTTTGTTCTATCGTATTCATCTCAAAATTTGTATGCGACTGATGAACGGATATACATTTTTTTTGCCAATGTTACTTGAGTCAAATTAATTTGATGTTCTGTATAATGTGTGTTTACGACCTTCATTATCATCGGAACCAATTCTAATTACATCTAACTGTACACTCTTATTTGTTGATGTTGCATCTGTTCACTATTTTCTTCTTTGATCAAAGATCGTACCAAAGTAGCATTTTTTTAATAATTGAAATTAACCAATTATATTTGATCTTATCTATTGTTATTGCAACTTGAGCGATCGTACGCAAATAATTCGATTACTAAATAAACATATGGGGTCAACCTGTAAATGGAACCGGATTAAACGAGCTGTAAATGGGTAACTGGGTAAGTCGGGTTCAACCCGTACCGAGGTAGCGTGAACCCTACTCGTCAGTAGCGGGTTGGATTCAGAGCGGGTCAGCTGTTATTCTTTTAACATAACGATATGTAACGAACTTGTTTTTTGTTTGGTCGGAGGAGGAAAAGAGAGAAAATATGTGTCACTTCGTAGTTTATTTTCTGTTTCTTCTTTTGTATCCCTCCAATTTTGACGATTTCAGTAGTCATTACTCTTCTAATTTCTAGTTCGTTTATTTATTTTAAGTTGTCCATCACCTCACTCTGTCTTCCCCTCCAAAAACTCTTTATCAAAGGCAATTTAGTAACTCCGGTTAGGTAGAGGAAAAGGCCAAGTTAGCCTCAGTTCAGTGGTCCTAGTGTATTTGTGGCTTGTGGGTGAATTTAATTTATGGAGCACGAATCCAATTGCGAACATCAATTCGACCTGAGAAATTGGGAATTAGGTCAGGTCATTGCGGGACAACCCTAAAGTCCCGTACCAGCATAATGATGGAGACTAAGAGCCCACTTTCAAAAAATAAAAGAGAAAAAAAAGAAGAAGATAGAGTAAGAGCTTTTTCTATTGCGTTTTCTTCAACCAGAACATGGGGGATAAAATGAGACTGATGTTTTCTTAAGTGCATCTTCCTCGATGTCCTCTCTGAAAGAAAATTGTTAGGAGTAGATGGCTTCTTCAAAGAGAACTTCTGAGTTCAAATCCTATTGGGAGGCTAGAGACGGAATGGCCTTGGGGAAAAGAAGATACGCTTCTTTTTTCTGTTTCTAACCGTAAAAAAAAAAATATGAAGAAATGACTGTTATAATCAAAATAGCGCGCGTATCGAAGAGACGTATAGTCTCTTTCAATCAAGGTAAGCTCACCATTACCCCTATGTTTCCTGCCTCTCAGCCCGCAATACCACCCAAACCAGTCTCTCCGCCAACAGCTCCACCCTTTTCAGCTTCCCCCCCTCTGCTCTCTTCCAAACCAGTCGTTCCTCCTCCTCAGCCTCTCCCGTTTCAGCCTCCTCAGAAACAACCCCATATTTTCTCTTCATTTGCTGATCTCCTCAAGGGTTCCCGCCCTCCCACTTCTCCCATTCCCCCTCTCAGAAATGTATCCTTCCCCTTCCGGAAGAGGGTTGGACTATAGCTTCTCGTAAGAGGCAGTTGAAGAAGTTGAAGGTAGCCCTCCATCCTCCCCTCAAACCTCCAAGGTGTTATCTCTGTGGAGACCGCTTCCATATGGTGAAAAATTGTTCGCTTGGAGATTTTAAGTGTTTTGCTTTTAACAATATAGGACATACATCCATTAACTGTCCTAACAAGAAGAATCCATCCCCGCAGAACATCTCCCCATCATCTCCCCCCCCTGGTTCATCCCAAACATCACTCTCCCTCCTTCAGTTGCCAGTACCATGGACGATTATGTTTGCTTCGGCTTCTTGAACCTCTAGGTGGGGAGCCCTACTTATGGGGAACTCATTGAAAACCTAGAGTTTCATCTCAAGGTGGACAGATGGTTGTATGATGTGAGTCATATCTCAGAGACGTCCTATTTTATCCAATTCCCTGATGAAGAGACTTTGTTCAGTGCTTGTTCCAAAGATTTCTTCGACATGAGGGCTTTCAGAGGTGTCTTTACTCCCTGGTCCGAGAAGATAAGACTCAAATCCCTCCCAAAGTTTGTCTATGTTTGAGTAGAATTTAAGACCTTCCCCTTCACCTCTAGGACACATAGTTCTTCAAGATTTTGCTGGAGGATGTTGGAGATGTTATTACTA